TCACACAGCTTCCCTTTTTTCTTTTTCTTTTTATTCTGGGATTTATTTACCTTCTATATCTGTCACTGGAGCTGAGAGCCGGCTCCAGCTCTGAGGCCCGGCTCCAGCTCTGAGGCCTGGGTGGCTGAAAGCTGGTATCTGGGTTTGTTTAGCTTCTATAATTGAAACTCTTCTGCCATCACTGGCGCTCTAAGCTCTGAGGCCATGGCCGGCTGAAAGCAGGTATCTGGGGTTTGTTTAGCTTCTATAATTGAAACATTGTTCCTTCTGGAGCTCAGAGCCGGGCCGTGGCAGGTGGGGAACCTTGGCTTCCTCCTTCACTGGAGCAAGCAAACCTCATGTTCGCTTCAGCTGTGTGGCTGCCGGCTGCCATGGTGGTTGGCAGTTAATTTGCACATCGCCCTTATTAGCCAATGGGAAGCGTAGCGGAGGTACAGTTAATTACCCTGTTTTTCTGTTATTAGATAGGATGCCTTACCTCTCCTTACAAATGAATTTCAAAAAGAAAATATCTACTCGCCTTTTTCTCTTTTTAACATTCTGATTTTTTTAGGTTTAACAGTTTACTTTTAAAATAATTTCAAACTTATAGAAATCTTGTAAAAATAGTGTAAAGAAGTGTTTTTCTCAAACCATTTGAGAGTAAGTTACTGATATGTTGTACCATTACACTAAACACTTCAGTGTGTTGCTATATTTTTTCATAGTCTGTTGCTGAGCTTATTTATTTTTGAAGAGCAGAGGTTTTAAATTTGATGAAACTTAATTTATACTATATATATATATTTTAATGGACGAAGCTTTTTATCTCATCTGAAACCTTTGCCTAACATGTGGTCAAAAAGTCCTTTAATTGTCATTCTATTACTTTTTGTCCTTCATGGTTTCTGACAAGAAATCTGTTAATTTAACGATACCTAGTATAAGGAGACTGGCTTCTTCTCTCTTTGAGTGTCATTTAACTGATTATGTTTTGGTATGGGTCTATTTCAGTGTATGTTACTTTGATTTTAGTAAACTTGTATTGTTTTAGATTCGTGTATTTTATCACATTTGGCTGTTATTTTTTGACTATTATTTTTGAAGACTTTTCTTCTGTCCCATTTCTGTTCTGCTGGGATTTTCATATTGCATATATTTACTCCATGGTGTCCCACAGGTCTCATAGGCTTTGTTCACTTTTCTTTACTCCTTCTTGTCAATTTTGATAGACCTATCTTAATTTTCTGATTCTTTCTTCTGCTAGCTCAAATATCTTATTGAAATTCTCTAATGCATTTTTTTAGTTATTGTACTTTTCACATCTAGAATTTTTGTTTCATTTCTTTTTATAATTCCTATCTTATTAATATTTTCTTATTGTGACCTATTTTATTTTTCTTTAGTTCTTCACAGTTCTTTCTAGCTGAGAGTATTTAAGACAGTTTAAAGTTTTTGCAGTTAAGTCCAATACCTGTAATTTCTCTTACACTGTCAGGCTTGGACAGGGGACCCCCATCTCCCCCCATCACTGGCTCTGACCCCCACCCAGGCCTGATGCCTCTGGTCCAGGAATCATGCCTGGGCAGGGGACTCCCATCTCCCTCTGATCGCTTGCTCCACCCCCCGCCCAAGCCTGATGCCTCTGACTCAGGCTTCAGGCCTGGGCAAGGGGACCATCATATCCCCCCAATCACTGGCTCCGCCCCCCACCCAGGCCTGATGCCTCTAGCCCAGGCATCAGGCCTGGGTAGTGGACCCCCAGCCCCCTCCGATTGCTGGCTCCGCCCCCTGCCCAGGCCTGATGCCTCAGCCAGAGGAGTTGACCCTCATCACCCTCCGATCACCGATCACCGGATCGGCCCCCTGCCCAGGCCTAACACCTCTCTACCCCTACCCCCGCAGGGCTCCTCTGGCTGAGGCGTCCGGCCTGGGCAGCGTGGACCCGCAGCTGCAGTGGCCCTGTGATCGCAGGCTCCGCTTTAGGCCCAGGCAAGGGACCCCTAGCTCCCAGGACTGCCTGCTTCGACCCTGCCCAGCTCCCATCGCTGGCTCCACCCTTACTTCCTGCTATCACTGGCCAGGGCGACAAAGGCACCCAATTCTCCGATAATGGCTGGGGGCAGGGCAAAGGCGGGCCCCCTGGGTTTCCTTCCGATCACTGTCAGTGGCAAATTAACCGCCATCTTTGTTGGCAGTTAACTGCCATTTTAGTTGGCAGTTAATTTGCATATCACCCTGATTAGCCAATGAAAAGGGTAGTGGTCGTATGCCAATTACCATATTTCTCTTTTATTAGTGTAGATACCAAAAGACTTTTCTCCTGGAAACTAACAAGCATCTATAAAGTACATATGGTAATGCAAAAGATGCATATTAGCCAGAACAATTTTGAATAAAAATAATGTTGGAGAATATCTAATACTTGATGTTAAGGTTTATTTTATAGCTACTTTATTCAAGAAAGTGCTGTAGTGGCATAGAGTCTATCTATCTATCTATCTATCTATCTACCTATCTATCTGTATAAAAGCCTAGGTGACCATTAGGACAGAATGACCGGAACAACCGGTCGTTGTGATGCGCACTTACCACCAGGAGGCAGACTCTCAACGCAGGAGCTGCCCCCCAGCCCACAGGCCCAATAGCTGCTGTGGCCTGGAGGTTAACCTCCTGGTCTGTACCCTGGCCAGCAGGTCCGAATCACCTGATCAAGGCCAGCCGGCCAATCTCCCAGTCCCTCTCCTTGGCTGGCAGGTCCTGATCACCCTATCAGGGCCGGGCCCCGGCTGGGATGGGGAACCGGGCGTGGGTGGCGGCAGATGCGGATGGTGAGGGAAGGAGGAGGGGGGAGTCAGGGAACCGCGCACTGGTGGTGTGTGGGCAGTGAGGGAAGGAGGAGGTGGGGAGGCAGGGAACTTGAATGGCCCTGAATGCCAGTCAGGCCTAGGGACCCAACTGATCAATTGGGAAAAAATGTTTGCAACACATAACTTAAAAGACGTATCCAACATGTATAAGGAAGCCAACAGCCAAATAAATGAGCAGACAGACACATGACTAGGTGTGCCTTTGTTACTCATCAGGAAAATGCAAAATAAAACAATTCTTTTATGACTTTAGTTGTCAAAAATTTTAGTACATTAAAAATTAAAATTAGGGCATCATAGTCATTACCTTTTGGGAGTATGTGTAATGATTCTGGAGAGCATGAGGGAGCTTCTGAGTTGCTGGTAATGTTCTGGATCTGGATTTTGGGTGCATGATTGTGTTTACTTCTTGAAAATTTATTGAATTTTATACTTAGAGTTAGGTACTCCTATGTAGTAGTTTACATTTTAATAAAAATGTTTTCCCAAAATGAAAAGGATTCAGAGAAGGACAAACACAAATAACCCATGACCTATATTATGATGTGTAACTATTGTGAAATTGTCATTAAAACTAGGATGAAATTGGCAGTGACATTGGCAGTATTTAAAATGTTTGAAAATGTTAAGCATTTGGGAGGTTATGGAGCCATATAAATTTTAATCTGCTGCTGATGGTAGTGTAATCTGGACAAAGAATTAATGGTGTATTCATCAATGGGATATAGTATAGCAATAAGTGAGAAATTCAATATAGATAAAATTAGAGATTATTTTGTAGAGTAATGCACAGGAAAATATGTGCAATATTTTCTTCTTCTGCAGTATAGAAAGATGCAGAGGTAAAATGCAATATTTAGAAAATCATTCATAGGTTAAAAAACACATAAGCTAAATAAAAGCAAGATCATGATCAGTGGTAGGGAATGTGATCGAGGGAGGAGCACATCAAGTGCTCCTAGGTGAGGTATGGTATTGTTTTGTTTCTTGGCCTGGGTAGGAAGATTCAGGAGTGTCTTTTATTGTGATTTTTACATGTTTTTGTATGCTATATTTCAGAGAACAGTAAAGATATTTACTGAAATAACTTTTAAAAGTTACAACTGCAACTCCTCAACTAGTGAGGCTTTAAATATTGAGATTTTTGTTTGTTTCTCATGGATGTCATGAAGGTGGCTTCCTTATTTTGTAAGATACTAAGTTTAGATATATCTAAGATCTCTTTCTACTCAAAGCCTCTCAACAAAAAAAAATTAAAATAGTTCTGCAGTTTATAGTTAGCTCTGATATTGTAAAAACACTTCTTTAAATATACATTTTATAATTTAATTGTCTAATTCAGACTGGATTTCTCAATTTCTTTTTGTGGGGGCATCACAATTGTCTTAGAACTCTGAATAAAAAATCTTTGTGTTAATAAACAGTGAATTCCTTTTCTTTCAGATGCAAAGGTCCACTTCTTTGGGAGCACCACAGATTTCACAGAAAGTGATTCCTCTCTTGGAACTTGCAGGTGTTGAATATGGTAAAATGAAAACCACTTTAGGAAATTTTCCTTATTATAAATAACTTTACGGGAATAATTTTTATTTTGAAACCATATAAAAATTTCAGGCAATAGCAGACATATGTTTTCCAGAAATTTTACTAAAATTTATTTAAAACAGCATAATTTGGATGTTCCTTAAAGTTACTCTTCCAGTGGGAATTTTGGTACATAAAAGTTGACCTCAATTGCAAGGACCACTAGTAATTAAATTATCTTAATTCTGCTGTGAGCTAAGAGATGCATGAAACTTTCTAGATGTCTAATTCATAATGTGTTAATTATGTGGAGAATTTTGTTATTCTAAGTTTTTAGATTTTATATTTTCCATTTTAATTAAAGGAATAAAATCAAGTCTTAATATATACTTAAACATGAAAACTGCTAAATATTTTGACATCAAAAAACTGCTTTTTCTTGGCTACATTAGAAATAAAAATAATTGTATTTTTCAGTTTTTAAGACTTTTACAATTGCTAAGTGTTAAATAACAGAAATTGCTATGTTGATTCTCAGGTTTCTAGAGCATGTTTTCCTTTGTGTGTGGTGACAAGGAGGGAGGGGTAGAGAGGGCTGAGGAGGGGAGGGGATGTTTGTGAGATTATCTACTCTAAATTCAGTCTTAGGTTATTAGGGATATACTTTAGCTGGTTTTAGCTTCCTTTAAACTTTCTTTTAATGGTTTTACTAGTTTTTGAGTTCTTTTTCAATAAAAAATTCTAAAAATTTATAATCCTATATAATAAAAGAGAAACATGATAATTAGCCGTACATCCGCTACCCTTCCCATTGGCTAATCAGGGTGATTTGCAAATTAACTGCCAGCCAAGATGGCGGCCGGCAGCCAGGCAGCTTGAAGCTAACATGAGGCTTGCTTGCTCAGTGACGGAGGACTCCAACGTTCCCCGTCTGCCGCTGCCGGCCTCTGAACTTGCAGTTTGAAACATTGTTACAAATATAGACGTTAAACAAAACCCCAGAAACCTGTTTCAGCCAGCCGGGATCTCAGAGCTGGAGTTGGAACAGTGTTTCCATTATAGAACTCAAACAAACCAGATACCTGCTTTCAGCAGCAGAGGCCTCAGAGCTGGAGCCAGAGCTAAAGCTGGCCCAGAATAAAAAAAGAAAAAAGGAGCGGTTGGGAGCTTCCGTCACCCGCCAGCCTGAAAACAGCCCTCAGCCCCTCCAGTGCTCAAGGTCAGCATCTTCAAATCTCTTTACAGGAGCACACCCAAAACAATACAAAGGGCATTTTATAATGCTAAAGGCTACAATATAGGGTGAAGATAAAATAGTGATTAATATTTGTCAGTAACATTACAAAATTTTCACTAAAGCAGATACAACAGGGAGATGCTAGGACTGGCCAGGGACACCAGTGGGGAACCCCACCCTGACTGGTGTGTGACCAGCTGCAAACAGCCATCATCCCCTCACCGCGGCTGGGCAGGCCCCCCAGTGAACAGCACCCCAATGGGCCCTGCTCTGTGTGTGATGGGGTAGAGCCATAACCTCCCCATCAGCCCTGCCCTGAGTGTGACAGTGGTGCCCCAACCCCCTGATCGGCCCTGCTCTGTGTGTTACGGGGCGGTGACTCAATTCCCCTATCGGCCCTACTCTGTGAGTGACAGGGGGGAGCTCCCCAACCCCCTGTTGGGCCCTGCTCTGTGTGTGACAGGGGGCAGCTCTCCAACCCCCTGATCGACCCTGCTCTGTGCATGACAGGGTACGGAGCCCCAACCCCCTGATGGGCCCTGCTCTGTGTGTGACAGGGGGCGGCGCCCCAAAACCCAGATCGGCTGGCTCTGTGCATGACAGAGGACAGCGCCCCAACCCTCCGATTGGCCCTGCTCTGTTAGTGACAGGAGGCGGCACCCCAACCACTTCACCCCATCGGCCGTGCTCTGTGCGTGAAAGGGGGTGGTGCTGCAACCTCCCCATGGACCCTGAATTGAGTGTGACAAGGGGCGGCGCCCCAACCCCCCAATCGGTCCTACCCTGAGCGTGACTGAGGGTGGCATAGCAACCTCCTGATCCGCCCTGCTCTGTCTGAGGGGGTGACGCCCCATCTCCCCAATCGGCCCTGCTCTGAGCCCGACTCCTCTGCTTCACTCAAGCCATACACAAAAGCCATGCCCACTAGCCAATCAGGAGGGAGTATGCAAATTAACCCAACTAAGATGGCAGTTGCCACAGAACTGGAGCAAGCAGGAGGCTTGGGTTTCCCTGGGCAGTGGAGGAAGCCAAGCTTCCTACCTGCCCTGGCTGGACCTGGGTTTCGCTCAAGGCTACAAAGTTTCAATTATAGAAGAAAAATAAATCCCAGAAAAGAAAAAAAAAAGGTGAGGCTGGGAGCTTGGGTCGCCAGGGGGCTTGGCCAGCCTGAAAACAGCCATCAGCCCCTCTCCCAGGCTGGCCAGACACCCCAGTGGGGAATCCCACCCCGAAGGGGCCGTGGCCAGCCTGCAAGTAGCCATCAGCCCCTCACCCAGGCTGGCTACACCCCATGGGGTGAGGGTCCCTGCTGGGGGGGTTGGCCAGCCTGGGTGTGGCCAGCCTGAAAATGGCCCTCAGCCCCTTACTCAGGCTGGCCAGGCACCCCAGTGGGACCCCCACCCTGATTTGGAACACTCTTCAGGGCAAACCAGCCGGCCCCAACCCATGCACCAGGCCTCTATCCTATATAATGAAAGGGTAACATGCAAATTGACCCTAACAGCTGAACAACTGGGAATGACTGGTTACTATGACACACACTGACCACCAGGGGTCAGACGCTCAATGCAGGAGTTGCCCCCTGGTGATCAGTGTGCTCCCACAGGGGGAGCTCTGCTCAGCACAAGTCAGGCTGAAGGCTGCCAGGACAGCGATGGTTGCGGGAGCCTCTTCCACCTCCTCAGCAGCACTAAGGTTGTCCAACTGCAGCTTAGGCCTGCTCCCCACTAGCAAGTGTACACACCCTGAGGGCTCCTGGTCTTCCAGAGGGATGTCTGACTGCCAGCTTAGGCCCGATCCCCCCGGGGAGCAGGCCTAAGCCAGCAGGTGGACATCCCCCGAGGGCTCCGAGACTGCGAGAGGGTACAGGCCGGGCTGAGGGACCCCTACCCTACCCCCCGCCCCCCGCAGTGCACAAATTTTTGTGCACCGGGCCTCTAGTCCTATATAATAAAACCCTAATATCCATATCGACTGAACAGCAGAACTACCGGTTGCTATGATGTGCACTGACCCCCAGGGGGCAGACGCTCAACACAGAAGCTGCCCTCTGGTGGTCAGTGTGCTCCCACAGGAGGAGCACTGCTCAGCCAGAAGCCTTAAGCCTGGCTCACGGCTGGCCAGCACAGTGGCGGTGGTGGAAGCTTCTCCCGCCTCCTCAGTAGAGCTAAGGACCCCTTGGGGGATGTCCGCCTGCTGACTTAGGCTGGCAGGTGGGCATCCCCTGAGGGTTTCTGGATTGTGAGAGGATGCAGGCTGTGCTGAGGGACACCCCCCACCCCCCACCTCTCCGTGCACGAATGTTGTGTACTGGGCCTCTAGTGTGTGTGTGTGTGTGTGTGTGTGTGTATGACGTAGTATTCCATCTCAGTTTATTCATTCAAACTTCCAGACCTGCCTTCTGGAAGTTTTTTATTAATATCTTTATATTAATTAAAAAAAGATCCTAGTGTGTTAGTGTTCACATTTACTTTAGAAAAATTATAAATTTGTTATTAAGTAAATCATTGGTTACTGACTTAAACAATGTTCTCTGATATTTAGAGTCAGAGGAGGAATTTTATGATGCACCATGTAGTCCCGTGGAAGAATATTTTCAGTCAACAGCTAGCATTAAAAGTTATCAACAAAATAAGATTCCAGAGCTGGATTGTTCAAAAAATATCATTCAGTATAAAATAAGATTTGAAGTGCCAGAGGTATGTACCATTGTAAAATTGATATTTGGTTCTTATTTCTATTCACAACTTATTTATATAGTGTTATTACTAATAGGCACTGTTGCTTTCATTCTATTTAAGCTGAATCCAGATGTTATTCTGTTGTCCTTCTTTCCTTTTTTGTGTGTGTATATTGTATGTTTGTGTGCTTATAAAATCTTTCCTAAATTTTAAATAAATATTTATGTCATATGTATACCTCATAAATCTATATGTAACCATCATCTACATAAGCAGTTGCTTGACTTAAATAATGATCATTTCTTTTTTCTTCTCCAGGTATCGATTCAATTTTATCACCTTGTTGAAGATTGTGAACTACCTGTGGTAGAAATTGTTGTCTTAGGATTGGGCACGGAAGTAGAACTTAGAACATTTGATTTGAAAGCCAATGCCTTTTTGAAAGAATTCTGCTTAAAATGCCCAGAATACTTGGGTAAGAATCTCTGTTTTAAAATAAGTAATTTTACTATTTGACTACCTACTGTAGAGTTTTTAATACTCTAGGCATTAAATAAGTATATTTGCTAAAACATTCTCAGAAAAATATTATATTATGAATTAGTACATATCTACTTATATAAAAACCCTGGTTGTAACATCACGACCTAAGGTGCAACCAACTGGAAGGAAGTCAGTCCTGCAGGGGTTGTTTTGGAAACGGCTGTACCCTCTCCTGAGCTGTTTCCGGGAGATGTTTTGGTAAGGGCGAGGTTTGAGGCAGAGAACCCACCCTCGGAGCGTGGAAGCATATCTTTATAAAGTGTGCCGCACCAGCATGGCCAAGGGTGAACCTGAATGGAGGCGGCTGAAAGGCTTAGAAAAGACAGATAAGAGAATGAAAGCTGGGTCTCGGTGGGACGTGCTTCTCTGAGAGACAGCGACGACACCCAGAGCCATGTCTTTATTTTATAGCAGATGCCACGAGGCAAAGTAAGGGCATGACCAAGATCTTTACAACATTCTCCTGGGTTTCAATCCTACTCAACAATATTCACCTGAATTCTATCAAGCCTATATCACTCAGGCCTGTGGGGCCACGTGTTTCGACCATAAGTTCAAGTTTACAACTATAGTTGTTGGCTATAATTGTGCTGGGAGGGCCCTGCCCTCCAAGCTGGGTCTTGCATGTGGCAATGAGAGGACTGTGTTCTTTCATCAGCCCAAGATTTCAACCTGTCCAAAACACTGTAGCGGCTCCCCACAATAAAGTTTTAATACATTATATTAGAGGTTGTGGTGGTAATTTTTACCCACAGCATCTACAGGAATTGCTGCAAATTTACTTCTCAGTGGAAGAACCTTTCATTCCCAATATAAATGACCAATTCCATTAAATGAAACTTCAATTTCTAGACTCAATATAAACAGTGAAGTTGCTAAAACTATTAAAAAGGCCCAACTTCTCATTATTGATGAATGCATCATGGCATCCAGTCATGCTATAAACACCATTAAC